GCTTGTTTTTGTTCCATTCGAGTGTTCCTTATGTGAGTTCCACTTTGTTTGATAACCCAACTCAATGTTTGACTGAATTAAAAAATCAAATGATCTATTCAATTTTTTTTTGTGAGTGGGTTTTGTTGAATGGCTGAGCTGCATCAAACTCTTTCATTCGAAAGAGTTTGATCTAGCTTGAAAGCCAAACATTCAATGTGATATACTGGATATACATGTACATGTGTTTCCTAAAGTAAATATTTTAGCAGTGAGAGGCGAACCAACACAGAAAATATAGTCAATAATTGACAAAAATATCATGCCTCTTTGTTTTTCTCACATGTTGTAATTGTTTCTTGGTATTGAAGATGCAAGGGAAACTAAAACAAATGTGACAGTCACCGCAACCACGTAACATCTTAACTGACAACAATGTATGCTGAGCTATGAGTGTGGATATTCAAGGAATGATTAGTAAACAAATCTGCTGGTTGCTTTGCAAGTTGTGGGAACATTGTTTGGATTTCAAGAGAACATATTTAAGGAGTACCCTCCTTCCCCCTGGTCAATATGATGTTTGCATAGAACTGCAGGGTAATATAGGATAAATAAAAGTGGTTTTACTAGTTTAACTCCACTGCTGGTTTTGCTGTCCACTGAAATGAAGATGTAGGGCGCTTTCCATTTGTCAGAACCGACCGGCCAAACCATTCCCAACGTAATGAGAATTTCCATTTTAATCAAATCTCTCCAGCCAGATCAGTCAAATCCTAAGTAGTATGCACCAAGGAAATGGTTGTTCAGCAAAAACTCTTGGCAAAAGCGTATTTCAATATCAAACCGACTGGTTGGACAATGGTCCGGCCGGCCAGTTCCAACAAATGGAAAGCGCTCTTAAAGTCTGGATCACTCTGTTACAGTCGATTTCACATTATTTACCACACCATGTTGCAAAGTTCGTTGGAAAATTGGGTACTACATCATGAAGTAGCCAATTACTTAGCAAGTTAGGGAATCAAATTGCGAACTTCAAGACATAGTTGTCAACTACGACTGAGCTTCACAAGTTTGCTCAACAGTAACTTCACTTCCCAGTTGTTTTAATCACTGAGTTCTCGTCAAAGAAGTACCTGTTCCTGGGATCACAGTTACTGAAAAAAAATATATGCTTCAACTTTTTCTTGAGCATTCTCAGTCAAGCATTATTATATTATTAGATTAAGCTCTCTTTTGGAACTATTGTCAACTCTTTGCAAGAGTAACCGAAATCACGTGTCAATACATGACTTATCGAACCTTTGCGGGTCAACAACCTGATTTTCGATTAAATGTTTTTGTATTTCCGTAGCATACATACTTGGTCGTCGCTGTTTAAAAAACTCTGTGTAGGGGCTTCCTGGACATATGAAACGATCAACAATATTTGTTACCGTCCTTCTCAGTAAATTAAACTGGTGCACTATTTGGAATGGTTTCAAACCCCAGTGATTTTGTTACCTCTGCATCTTGTGTCCCTCACACAAAAAATTATCCAAAGACGCAAAATAATTCATGGCATGCATCCCGTAGGATGCAAAGGATGATCGATCGATTTGAAGATTTGTTGGTAGAATATCCCGTTTGTGCGATTTCTGTAGCTGTTGTTTAAAGATGTATATAAATATTTTAGTCTTTTTGTGCTTTAAATATATAGGACTATATTTTCATTTTAGTAAACTGTCATAAAAAGTTTTGGCATCTGTCTCCAGATTAACTGTCTGGTTAAAAGGCCCATACCAAGCATTTTCAATTAAGGACTCCCTGTTTTTTAACTGGGACTCACTGGTTGTGCATGTGGACAGGCCAGAACTCTTGACTATTCACAAAATGAGTCCCAGGACTCACCATGCATATACTATTTGTAACAAAATCACTGGAACCCTCTAACCATTTTTCTACAATCATTTCACAGACCTCACAGTGCAGCGCCTTGCCTTGTTTAGTAAGAGGATTCAGGTTCATTATGTTGCAGTTTCCTGCTCGGGAAATTACTGTACTTATCAATCACAGCTTTGTGTCAACAAATATGTCTCCCAAGCATTATCTCAAATGCTACAGACCACAAAAATGAAATATGGAAAACTGTTAAGCTTACCTCGTCTTACTATCGGTATTCCATCACAATCCTCCGCCTTGGATAGCCTTAGCACGGTAAAACACTCCAACTTTCAAATTATACTTGCGCATCACGAGGTTTTTGTCTCACATTCTGCTCCACTGTGTCAGAAAAGAGTCGCTTTACGAGGGAAGCGATCGATTACTGAAGGCCGATGGGTCGCTAAATATACATAACAACCCTTAGATGTCTTGTGGTATCATCAGAAAGCAAAAATATACCGATTCCACGCTCCTAGAACCTATAGAAGCTGCAAATTTGAAGCCGTTGAAATCACTTTCAAAATGGACGCCAAAAAGAATGACCGTAATGAGCATGAGCAAAGGAAATGTCCGCTGACCAGCACTCCGCTCTGTTCTAGGCCCCATTCTCTCTTGTTTTCTCTGTTGTTTTCTCCGTCTAAGAGCATTTTAGTTTTACGCCAGTACTAGTACTGATTAACATCAATCTGGCAAATATTGAAAGCTGTTGGTAAGCTCTGCGATTTTTTTCACTTAGAATGGAAAGCAATGGCAACCTCGCACACTTCACAGTCTTTGCATCAATGGAACGCGCGCGAGTAATGCATGAGAACCGTTTAATCTCGAGAGTAAATTTACCTTTATTCACCTTGATTGTACGCCAAGGCAAAGTTTACGAAACATTGATCATGCGATCTTGGACATGGGTTAAAAAAAAAAGAAAAAAACTCGTCACCTGAAACGTAACGGAAACAAGAAAGAACGGAAATGTGATGACAGAAATGTGGCGGAAACATGATCGTTCGTTTCCGACGCGGAAACATGGCGGAAACGCGTCCCGTCCATGGAAAACTAGATCACCATGTTTCCGCAGGGCGGAAACGTGACGGATATAAGCAACTTCCCGTTTCCGTCGAGTTTCCAAAATACGGAAACACGTTATTTCGTCCTGTGCCACTTTCTCGTCACAGAGGAAGAATTTAGAGTGAGACGGAGAAACAGACAAATGTTGCTGATGTTCATGGCCCAAATGAGACAACAAAACGTGCGACGCAGAAGAAGAGCTTGAGTTTGGCCACGTCCCCAGAACTGGTTCAAAAAATTACTGGCAAGTCCTGCGCTAAATTTTCTTTGGAAGGAACATTTCAGGGTCACCCGAGAAACATTTGAATACTTATGCGACCTTGTGAGAGCAACCTGCAAAAACAGGACACAAGATTTCGAGTCCCTGTTAGCGTGGAGGAAAGAGTTGGCCTAGCACTCTGGCGACTGGCAACAGGGAACAGTTACAGGAGTTGTGGGTTACAGTTTGGATTAGGAAAGTCAACAGCGAAAATCATCTGTAGTGAGTTCGAGCAAGCTGTTTTTGATCTAAAAGATCGTTTTATAACATTTCCTTTAACAAATGAGGAAATTGGAGAGAAAATTGAGGAGTTTGAGGAGCTGTATGGAATACCGCAAATAGTGGGAGCGATCGATGGGTGTCACATAGAAATAAATGCTCCACCACAGAATCATGAAGATTATTTTAATCGAAAGCAGCACTACAGTGTAAATCTACAGGCCATAGTCGATGCCAAATTGAAGTTCATTCATGCTACTGTTGGGTACCCTGGAAGTATACATGATGCTCGAGTTTTAAGGCTAAGTGGCTTGTACGATTTCGCAGAAAATGAGCAAATTCTTAGTGGTCCAATGCGAAATATCAATGGAACAGAAATCGGTCCTCTTTTAGCTGGAGACAGTGCCTATCCGCTCACAAACTGGCTCATGAAACCCTTCCCTGATAGAGGTCGTTTAACTGCCGAGCAGAGGAAATTCAATCTTAAGTTCAGCGCACTGAGATGCGTAGTGGAAAGAGCTTTTGGCATGCTTAAATCAAGATGGAGGATTATTTTGAAGAAAATTGAACCAAAAACGACAACTTTGAAGAAGACTGTAATTGCAGCTTGTGTTTTACACAATATTTGCATTGAAAGGGGAGACCTACACGACGCAGACGATAGCGACTCAGACGATGGCTCTGATGATGACAACGGAAGGCGAAATACTTTTGAAACCGGCAACAATATTCGAGATACGTTAAAAGACTATGTGTGGGAAAACCTGTAAATTAATGATGCAGTCAACTTTTTATAGTCTTCTTTGCTGTTTCACATAAAAACGTGAAGCATAAATCAATCCCTGTTCTGTTGCAAGGTTGTTTTTTCTTTACAACTTCAGATTATATATGAGTCACTGCCGGTACTAACATGATTAAATTAAGAGAGAAAATAATAACATTTTTCTTGGATTGAACAAATGTGATGTATAAATCTCTAAAGGTAAAGAAAGTTAACTCATTTTCTGTGCTACTTTGACAGCAAGTCTTTGAAAATGTCTTTAAAACCTGTAAGTATAGCGTTTGTTTGATCCATTTGCTTGTTCTGGGCCTCGCGAAACATTTCAGCAGAACGTTCAAATCTCTCGTTATCTTGTTCAACACTACGCTTCCACATTTCCATAAAGGCTGTCTGGAATTCACCTGCAGAAGATCCACTCGGTTCTGGCTCATCTCGACGCCGTCGTTTTCCCTTACGGCAACTCTTTTCTGCGGGCTTGTCGTCTGCCCTCTTTTTGCCAGAGTTGGCGCTCGGATTTGAGGCTGGTGGACTGCTTTCCTCCGGAACATCTTCACTTTCTACTGAGCCTCCTTTCTGCTCTGTACTAGTAAAGATGGAGCTTCCTTCAACGGCCATTTTTGCCGGATTTACGCAGTCGCGATGCCCTCTTACTTCGTCAAAATAATCAAAATATGGAAAGCCATCTTTGATGATTTTTATTCCAGCTTCTCCAGTCTTCTGAGTTCGCTGTTTTAGGTGTTCATACTCGTACTCTAAATTCTGGTGGCGTTTCTTGATCTGTTAAAGGGTTCTCTGGCTCTCGGGAAAGGCATTCTTGTAAAATGAATAAATTTCATTGCATATTTTGATCTTTTCCTTTTGAGAGGCGCTTCGAAGCTGGTTATACCTGAGCCCCCACGCTTCCAAAAGATCTTGAATCTTGTTTTCGGTCCAATCAGCCGACTTCGATCTAGCTTTCTTTGTCTTACCCTTTGGCGTTTCCTCCTCTGACTGTAAAGATGAAGTGCTTGCAGTGCTTGCGGTGCTTGCTACAGAGATGGGCGATTGCGCTCTTGACACGTCAGAGATGTTGTGGATTGTGCTGAGGTGAGATGAATCTTCAAGTTGCTGTTCATGAAACTGCATACGTGTCAACTCGGAAGGCCGATAAAAAGAGTTGCTGGTCGAAGGAAAGGACCATAACTGTCTACCAACCATAGGCGGTTGTGAATGTTCAGGAGAATTTACTCGGCTTGCAAAACGCTGGTTCAAGTTGTTTCTGTTGAAGAAGGCACGAGTGCAGGTTAATTGCGTGAGCTTCTGGGCCTGCTTCGCAAATTTTATAAATTTCACTCTTACATTTTACAAAAACGCGAATACTTACATAAGACCTTGGTCTAAATAGTCGTCATCCATGGCTTGGTAAGAGGATCTAAACGGATTCATTTCGCGATTGAATAAGCTAACAGGCAATGCAATCGACAGACAACGTTTGCGTGTTAGCGTGCTCTTATGTTGTGATTCTCTAACACTTTAACATGTTTGATTGACGTATCCTTCCGGAATGTGTTTAGATAAAGCGTAAGTTAGCTGGTAAGGATAGTTGAAACTAGACTTGAGAGTGTACTTCGGTTTCTTTGAAGTCAACGTGTTACCATGGGCACAAAGTAGGCTACTTGAGTTGAAATTCGACCCGTTCACATCTAAAGTAAGAGTCAAGTATACTTAAGGTCTACTTACTTCGCTAGTATGAACCCGCCTATTATCTGCAAACCAATCCTTATCAAAACCTAAGGAAAGTGTAACACAGCGATTACAGAGACGGGTGTACGCAGTGCTGATTTGACGCTTTGCAAACACAATTTCGCGCTCATTCTTACAAGAACAGATACCTAAGCTTCCTAAGAATTAACACAAAATGATAGATTAAGGAATCCCAACATTTCACAGTCGAATCAGTCTTCAAGAAAATCTCACCTGGTGCTTAGATGTTTTGTAATTTTATGATGTTCGTTGTGTTTATCGGACTCAACAAAGCATCCATACGCATTCACTCCCAATTTAAACTTTCTCCGGTGACAGTTATTAACGAAGTTGGCAATTTATCTTCCTCCATTTGGAAAAGAATTAAAGTCTTACTGGCCTCTTTGATACTGTCTCTTTATGCTTCCGCCAAGCGTGAAAAAAGGTAGTCTCCCTTGCTGTTGTTTTTAGTATCGTCATGCAATGCTCGTCAAAAGTGGAAGCCAACCAAAACAGTGCATTTGACAGAAGATGCATTTCAAAACAATAACACAAGCACGCAATGCTGTTTGGGTGAACATGGGCCTTTAAACGGTCTTGAAAATAAACATGCTTGAGAATAGGTTGTTCTCTCTCCCATTTGTTTCTTCTGAATCAAGGGTCCATGTGTAATTCAAACAGTTCATTCCACCTTCCAAGTCCTTCACTTTTGAAGACAGGAAATGTCTTTCTTGTGACTCTTCAACCACTTGTTAAGCTGATTGAAGTCCAGCCCACTTAAGATGTTCCTTTGAAAATCTTCAAATTTGTCATAGTTACGTTCAGAAGATGGGTTGAAAGAGAAAAGCCCCCCTCTTTTGTGTATTTCTTTCATAAGGGCTGCAAAATCCTGGGTCATTATTGGCTGTGTTGTTGTGCCCAGGAGGCTCCTTGACACCTATCTCTGCATCAATCTTGTGCAGCATTTGTTCTAATTATTGAAATCGCTTAGCTGTATCATTTAGCTGATTTTTCCATCACATTGACACGTAGACACCTTAGGATCTTCTTCAAGAGATTATTGAAGTGTTCTAAGTGTTCTAACCTTAAGCCCAAAGAGGTATTGTGGCCTTTACCACCTGCATTAAACTACCTTGGAAGGTGGTTGAAAAAAACCTAACCTAGTTAAGAAAATCGATTGATCTTGCTGGTTTGCATAATTTGGTTAGAACCCGGTTAAGACTGTAGAAAACTCGGCCGCACTTGCAGCTTTTTTAAACGACTTAATTTCAATTAGTTAATTGGAAATAACTTGGTTAAGTCCCAAAGTGCTGCCGCAGCCATTCAGTACAAATATGGAGACATTGTTATCAAATAAAAAGGTTAATGAAACTTACATTAATTTTGTAAAGTGCACAGACCAGTAGCAAGGAGAAAGCATTTCTAGCATTAGTAAAATATAATAGCAGTCTTTATGCTGCCTCACTGCTTTCAAATAAAAATAATCGTAATAATGTAATAATCCTAATAATAATAATGAGGAGCAAAAATTGAGGCATATGTCTTAGAGAATTTCGACCATGAAATGTTGCTTAACTGGTTAAAAATGGCAAATAACCCGTTCAGATTTCTGTTTCGTTACACCAGTGTGTTTGTGGGGAATATGCCTGAGAACAACATCTTTGAAAGACGTGAATGCAGGAATCCTGTCACAAATTATCCGTGCAAACAGAGGAATTAAGTCGAAGTAGACCTTCATTATCTTGATAGGATGGCAGAATTTCCCAGTTCCCCACTTGATCAACTAATTTGAACGAAACGTTCTCACAGAAAAGTTAGGTCTCAACTTCATCCTGATCGCAAGGGAAGTTAAATGGCCTAAAAAATTGGCCTTGGTTGCCTTAAAATTAGCCAATGGTTTTTTACAGACCCTTTGAAAAGTACTTGGAAATGTTGAATGAAAGAACTTACTTGAAATTATAAACTTGAGACTTTTAAGTCACAGTTTCCTTGTTTATCACGATCTGTGATGCAATCGAGCGTTAACTGTCAGGTTTCTGTGTCATTGCGTGGCCTTCATGTTTTCTTTCTTCAAAAAAAAAAATGTTGACCGTACCAGAGATTCGCAATGTAATTTATCTGAAAATATTCATCGATTTCTAATCTATGCTATTAAATTCACGTAGTTAAATGAAATTGAAAACAATTAGCGTTCCGAACTAACTGATTACTGCAAGCCAAACACACTATCGCGTTGTGACTGGGTTTGTTTACCAAATAGAGTTCCAACGGCTATTGCTAAAATTAAATTCTTGTAGAGCTAAAAGCAATTAGGTTTCATTTTGGTGCTGTGCATGTGGGCTTTAAACGCAAAAAAAAAAATCGGCACCTATTAATTAAAACCAAAGAAGTATTTGACATCGAACTCATTATGCAATGCTCCTCTGCACAAACGTGAAAATTACATTTTTATTACCCACACATAAAAACGATTCCACGATTCAGTGTTGATAGGATATGCAATAAAACGACAAAAAAATGTAACTAACTTTAAGAGACTTTTTTAATATTGCAGAAACTGGGAAATAATGCCGAAAAATACGGCCTACTTGATGACAACATTGATATTTAGATGTCTATTGAATAAAGGGCAAGAAATCTTAATACAAAAATTAAACAGTAAAACTGAGAAAACACTTATCTAATAGTTATAACATGATAGATTATGTTAATGAAATTTGAAAATGCTTTACAACAAGAAATGCGCACCAAATCCACATATGTAAGTCGATTTAAAAAAGCAACTAAGAAAATGTTTTACATAACGTTTCCTTTTTTTAACCTCTGTACTAGTGTCCTTCGTTTTCCTCGGTGCTTGGTGTTCACTTGTTCCCATTGTTATTTAAAGACTGGCGAATCAAACTTGTGCTGCAAAGTTGACATAATCAGGTGCATTTTATAGCAGTCTAGCTGTTGAAATCCTCTTACTTCTGTCCCGTGTTGCCTTTAGCTAGTTCTTCTTCGCTGAACAGAATGTTGGTGCAGGCAAAAGCATACGTTGTCCACTCAAAGAAAGCTTTGGCTCTGGAAAATTTGGTTCAATGGATTGCAGTGGAGCTCATGGGACGGGCTGGCACACGTATGCTTACTGTGACTGGGAGGTGGCTGGATATGATGACACTCGCTGGTTAGCCTGAAAAGTGATGGGAGTAGCTGAGGGGCTGGCAAGGGTTGCGGCAAATCTTGTGATGCATTTTCATGAACAAACTCACTGGAGCTTTCTTCCTCAGTTCCAAGGGTACTCATCAGGGCATCACTGACAATACTTGCAAAGGATTCGTCGTCGCTAAACTCATGATTCAACGAGATAATTGTGATTCACGAGGAAACAACAATGTGACATGTGAATGTCTTCTTTCTTATATGCAAGCACTATGTGTTGGTGATTCTTACTTCTTTAAAAGAACCGGAAACAATGTGGAAAGGCGCGAAACTAACAAAGGGATATTGAGGCTACAGGTTTTAACAACTGTACTCCGCTCACTGTGAAAATTAACTTCGGAAACTTATTGCAATATCATTATCTACATGGAAGTGTGTAAACCAAAACACTGTGTTCAATGAAGGGCTTTCAAAAAGGGTGGTTCTTTGTATTGCATTTGGTGGCACCTAAAAGAGCCGTGTTATATTCAAGTGACTGAAGTCACTTTTCACTGCTGTCGTGGGGTTTGTCGTGGTAACCCTTTGAGGTACAATAGTTTCCTATAATCAAGGTCGTAGTAAAACCATTGATGTCTTTTACTGTCAACGTTGTTGTTGACAAATTGTATTTGGCGCTCTCTTTTCTGGGCTGTAGCTTGTGATGAGGCCCAGGACTGAGCGAGAAGAATCAATCTACTGATGATTTCAGGATTGCACCTGTTGCCTTGGAAAAACAGCGGAGGTTTGAATGTCTCCTTTTCACCCATTGGCTTCTTCTAGAATATTAAGCGAGTATCCTTAGGCCATGATAATCTAAGTCAAGTGCCCTTAATGAGATGCATATTCACCAATAGAGCCATTGGAATGATATTTTCTATTGGTACCAATCATACCATTGGTACCAATGGACCGTCGGAATTACCCTGTACCATAACCGGCCACATGAGAAAATAATCTAAGTGACCTTAATGAGATGCATTTTCACCAATAGAACCATTGGAATGGCATCCTTTTCTATTGGTACCAATCGCACCATTAGTACCAAAGGACCATCGGAATTGCCCTGTACCCAGTTAGATCACATGGAAAATAATCTTAATCCCCTTAATGGGATGCATATTCACCAATAGAACCATTTGAATGACGTGCTTTTCTGTTGGTACCAATTGCATCATTGGTACCAATGGACCATTGAAATTGCCCAGCTAGATCATATGGAAAAT